AGCCCCTAATAAAATGTTTAAAAAAAAAAAAAAAAAGAAGTTAGCAATAGAGATGGCATATGATGAAACATTCCAATGCTATGCATATATCCTTGAGAAATAAAAGCTGTGACACAAATAGAAAAAAAAAAAAAAGAAAAGAACTGTCCCAGAAAACCCACCCAAGTGGCCACGTCCATTCTGACCCATAGAGACCCTCTAGGCTGGCGTAGAACTGCCCCACAGGGTTTCTGAGACCATAAGCTTTTGTTTTCTAAAGGCTTGGCAAAAAGGACTTATTGAATCCAATAAGATGACAGAAAATCAAAAGTGAAAAAAAAACTCACTGCCATAGAGTTCATTCTAACTCATAGTGACCCTACAGGACAAGCTAGAACTGTCCCTGTGGGTTTCTGAGACTGTAACCCCTTATGGGAGTAGAAAGTCTCATTTTTCCACCTTGGAGTGGCTGGTGGTTTCAAACCGCTGACCTTACAGTTAGCAGCCCAGTGCATAGCCACTAACCAACAGAGGACTTCCTGGAAATTTAGTTGACTATTCGGGCACCCTGAAGTGATGCCTGGGCCTCTTTAAAGGTTTGCTCCATGTCTATGGGAACTCCTGGCTGCTGGCTCCGGTGTGGCACCCACCGCGTTTACCGTGCTTCAGCTGCCAGATCCTGTATCAATTGCCAAGGCTGTGAATCTTTATGGTAGACTGCCAACATCTTTCCCCTGGGTTTGAACCGCCAACCTTTCAGTTAGCAGGCAAGAGCTTACCCACGGTGCCGCCCAGGCTCCATTAATAATAATTGTCATAAGGGACTGACCGAAAGAGGAACATTAGGTGGCAGAAGGGGGTGTAACAGGAGTCTTCGGGGTTAGGAGCAGTGTCCTTTTGAAAGTGACATTTAGGCTGAGAGCTGAGGGAGGTAGGAGGGAGCCAGCAGAAGGGCTGAAAAGGGTGTGTTCAAAGCCCACCCCCACTCCCCAGGAGGGAGCATAATAAGCAGAGGGAAGATTCTTGGAGGAAAGCAGAGAAATGGGCAGAGGCCAGGATAGGAAAGGCCTTGCAGCCCTTAGGAAGGCACTGGATTTTATCCCAAGAGCTTCAGGAAGCTACAGACAGAAGCCAGGGTTTTGAGTGGGAGAATACTGTGGTTGGATGTGCGCTCTCAGAGTGGACAGGGCCTGCTGGAGGACGGGTGTGGCTGCACAGACAAGTCAGGAGGCTTCAGGGGCGGGGCAGGCAGGAGTGACACTGGCGAGAGCAAGGTCAGAAGTAGTGGGGCTGGGTTTGGGCAAATACACAGGAGAAGAGAGCCAGGCGCTTGGGTTGTTGGCAACAGCTCGCTCACAGGCTTCCCATGAGGCCTCTCGGGGTGGCCAGATCCTGTCCATTTCTGCAGAGGAGAAGCAGCCTTTCGCACCCTCTCGGGGATGCCTGGGGTCCAGGCCCTGCCCTTGAGTCAGCATGCACCTCACCGAGGAGTGTTACTCATGAAGGGCTCACACCCTGGCTGGCTGACGGAAAATCATGTCGGGCTCTCGTCAAGCACCCCAGGGTAAGGAGAACCCGTCTTAGCTCAGGAAGGAACTGCTGGGGTGAGCTAGGCCCACAGCTCGTCCAGGGCGGATCACCTCTCTCCTGGGATTTGGTGGGGTCATGTTGTCTTCACCCACACATCCCCTCTCTCTCCAGGTCCGAAGGCCCAGCCTGGCCTTGTCATGCTAATGCTTCCAATGGTCAAACTGAACTCTGAAAGACCCTGAAACTTGGTCGATTAAATGCCTGCTGCTTGGCTCAGACAGTGGCCCCGCTAGGAGGCTTGAGTTGAGGAGCAGAGGTCGCCACCAGTTTGAGAAACGCCAAGGCAATGCAATGATTGCGTCCGCTTGATCCATTTGATCGCTTGGGCATAAGCGGAGCTTCCGTGGAACCGTAATGCATGGTGAACACTTAACAAAGGCTTCTGGCCTCTCTGCTCCCAGCTCGCCTGGCACATTCCAAAAGCAGCTTGAAGGTGGCAGTGGGGGTGGGTGGGGGGCGCAGTAGAAAGAGGGGGACCGGGGAAAGAAACGAGGAGCTGATACCAAGGGCTTAAGTGGAGAGCAAGTATTTTGAGAATGAGGAGGGCAACGAATGTATGAATGTGCTTGACACAATGGATGGATGTATGGATTGTGATGAGTTGTTTGAGCCCCCAATAAAATGATTTCAAAAAAAAAAGAACGAGGAGACTGGGCTTGGGTTCTAATCTCTCCAGCAGACACCTGAGTTCCAAAGGACAAGCTACTTGACCTCTGCAAGCCTCCAGGCCCTAAAATGTTCAGCGGAACAACGACGTATGTTTCACAGGGTTCTTGTGGGCTGGTGGGAGACAGCCTGCAAAGCCCTCGGCTATGCCTGGGACAGGGACCGGTGAGTGTCAGAGCAGACCTGTGCTCCAGAGGGGGTTACTGCAGTAGGTGGTTTGGGGGAAGCACATCACCAGGCCTTTCTTCCAAGGCACCTCTGGGTGCACTTGGATATTTTGGTTAGCATCCAGACAGGTGAACCCTTTGTTCCACCAGGGACTCCCCTGGCACACAGAACACATAGCATTTAATTCTTACCCCTGGAGTTGGGGGCCCTGGGGGCGTCGTCGTTATACATTGGACTGCTAGCTGCCAGGTCAGCAGTTCAAAACCACCAGCCTGTCTGAGGGAGAAAGAGGAGGCACTTTCTCCTCCGGTCAGTAAAGATTAACAGTCTCGGAAACGCACACGGGCTCTGCTCTGTGGGGCGTCATGAGTCTGGATCGCCTCAATGGCAGTGAGATTGGGTTTGGGATCCCTGGACGTCAGTGCTCAAAGAGACAGACGACAGAGCTCGCCAACCCCATCTCCTGGCATCTTGGGCTGAGTTTTCTGATGATTGATTTGGCAAAGATCTGAGCCAGAAATATTTCTGGTCACCAGGGCTTCTAAGGTATGGCGATGTTGGCTACCACTGACCAAAGCGTTGGTCCTACCTACCCTCTCTCCATTCCCTACCCCTCCAAAAAACCATGAACTCAGAATTAGCAGAACCAGTATTAGGAGTGAGCACCAAGACCAGGCAGACACCCAGCCCTTGGAACAGGTGTCCCATCTGGAAGAGGTTGTTTCGGGGCCTGTCTGCAGTGTGACGCCAGTGCACACCCTTCATCCCCCTTACCCACCTCTGCTCCCTTCCTGGTAAGGGTGGGCGGGTGCAAGCCGGAGCCTGCAGTCCTCCTGGGCCCCTCCCCCTGCTGCGGCCCTCCGGTCCCGGCCCCAGGCCCAGCGCGCACTCACGCAGTGCAGTTCCCAGGCGACGTGGTGATGCTGTCTTCCAGCTCCATGTTGGTGGCCAGGTTGGCGAAGCCGTGCGGCAGCTCGTCCCACTCGTCGAAGCGGATGCCCGTGCCCAGGGAGTAGCGGCCCTCAGCGCATGGCTTACACGACTGGTCCTTCATATCCAGAAACTCCCCTGCGTTGCAGGAGAAGGCTGGAAAGCCAGAGAGGGGGCAAGGGGAGCGGTGTGAGTGCCCTGCTGCACCAGGAGAAGGGGCGATGGGGGTGGGGTGCGAAGGGAGAAACACATTAGGCGGGGTGCACACTGCATGCCTCCATTGGCAGGAAATGTCCATCACAGGCAAATCCTCGAAGCCAGAAAGACTGGTGGGCGCTAGGGGCCGAGGGGAGGGAGGCACGGGAGAGACTGTCACTGGGTACACAGTTCTTTTGGGGTGGGGTGGGGGAGGTGTCACACAAGAGCTCTGGAATGAGGTCATGGTGACACGGTTGGGCAGTTCTGGGATTGCGTGAAACACCACTGAGCTGCACGCATTGAAAGGATGCGGGTTGTGGTATGTGGATTCTATCTCAAAACCCGCCAGAAGTCACCAGCTCCAACTTGGTCAGAGTCCAACTGCCCCCTAGGGCTTTCAAGACTG